TGGCACCATCTAGTTCTTCTGGTCTCATAGTCATATAGGCTGTAGATCACATGGTGTACCAGTAGCTAGGACTGATTCTTTCCATGAATCTTTTGTTTTCTTCATTATTCTTTGCTCTGGACGAGGAGAGACCCATCATTGCATCTAGATGGCTGCTTACAAGCTTTTAAGATCCCAGTTGCTACTCGCCAAAGTAGGAGGTGGAACATTGTTTTGTGTAGTATGTTATGCCAATTGAGCTTGATGTCCCCTGTGACTATGGTCCCGAGCCCACAGGTTCAATTACTCAGTCCCTCTGGGTAGCTGGCTGTGACCAAGAAGTGACTACAACCTTGTCCCTTGTCAGCTCTGCTATACACCTGGGAATTCAGATCATACAAATACACTTACAAGGCCATTGTCTGCCAGCCCTATACATGGTCTTGGGTACACTCCCCACTTCATAGACATAGTTCAGCCTTATTACAGGTATTTTTCAGTTTTAGAAGTTTCTTATTTTTTCAAATGGTTTCTGTTTCTCTGCTGAAATGTCCTATCTTTTGTATTTTCTTTACATCCTCGAGCATAGTTATGATAGCTGCTTTAACAGTTCTCATCTGCTAAATGTCAACGTCTGGGTCATCTTTGTGTTGATCTTTTCTCTTAAGGATGAGTTATGTTCTTGTTTCTTTGCATGTTTATTAATTTTGGATTATATCATGGGTATTGTAAATGAAGCATTGTAAAGACTGTGTTCCTCCAAAAAGTATCAGTACTTAATTGATTCGCTGTTTATTTTGGCAAGCAGTTAATTTAGCTCTATTCATACTGCAAACGACTCCTGTAGTGGTCAGCAGCTCTAACCTCAGTTGAGTTCTTTCAGTCTTTGCAGAGGTGCTTGGAGTCTGCCCTGCACATGCATGGTTAAGGGGTCAGCTAGACGTTTGAGCAGAGGTTATATGTAAAATTTTGTATCCCCTTCTGTGACACTCTTCTTTCCTGAATACCCTCTCACTTTCATTCCAGCGGCTGGGGTTGCCACAAACTCTATTCTTTGATACTTTAAGCCAGTAAAACTGAGTTTCTGAGTTCTAGTCGTTCCATACAGTGTGGACAGCTAACCACTGATCTAGAAGCTATAAATAAATACGACACTCACCCTGTGCTATTCTCTTCTTCCAAGTATCAACTGTCTCCATTATTTACTCTCCAAGGCCTTCAGGTAGTTATTCTAATAGATCCTCTGGAGTTTTTTAATTATTATCTGCCAAAGGGTAGGTCAGATAGGAGCTTTCTAGGCCATGACCAGAAGCAGAACTAAAATGAAATTGGGAAGAAGACAGGGAAATGGAAAAGAAAAATGGAATAAAGAAACCTTGATATAGAAATAGGTTGAGACCATTAACCAAGGAGGATTAGAGGATATTTACAAAGATTCGGGAAGGCATGTTGTTAGATGCTGTCGGGTCAGTTATAACGTTCCACCAGTCTCTATCAGACCAGTAAGCTTGGTCTTTTCTATGATTTTGAGTTTTGTTCCACATTTTTCTTCCACTCTAACCAGGACCTACTATTGTGATCCCTTTCAGGGCAGTCAGCAGTGGTAGCCGGGCACTATCTAGGTCTGGTCTTGGGCTTGTGGAGGCTGGGGTTCACATGGTCCTTTAGTCCTTTGGACTTACTGTTTCCTTGCATCATTAAATGGAGAGAAACCAGTAGTTGCAACATTGATGTCTGCTGAAGGGCTGTGAATCTTTATGGAAACAGACTGCCACATCTACAGAGATGCTGTAGTTTGAACTACTGACCTTTCTGTTAGAAGCTGAGCGCTTTAACCACTGTACCACCCGGGCTCTGCGTGTGTGTGTGTAACCAAAAACCAAACCAGACTCACTGCCGTCAAGTCGTTTCCAACTCATAGTGACCCCTCCTTGGGTTTCCAAGGCAGTCAAATGTCACTATGGAAGTAGATTGTCCAATCTTCCTTCCAGCCTAGTAGGTTTGAACCGCCAATCTTCTGGTTAGCAGTCACATGCCTTAGACACTACGCTACCAGAGCTACACACACACACACACACACACACACACTTATATATTTAAATTTTTTATGCATCTGATTGGGGATGCATTTGGCTAGAACCAGAATCGATGCCTAGAAGACTTGGTAAGCCCAGTCAGCTCAGTATGAGGAAAGTAATTCCTTTATATTGTCCATTCATGGCCAGGCTGCATCACACAGTGGAGTGTGTCTTCTTACTGAAACTTTGTAGCAGAGGTAAGAGAGAACCTCTTGTTGGGAATTTTCTAGAGGGAGTTCTTCTAGGGTGAGTGGTTGGTCTCAGACAACCTTAAGGGACCATCTCATTTGAAAATTCTTTGGTTCCACGACAAGGCAGTGTACTCCAGCACATGACACACTTGAGTTTTTTTTTTTTTTTTTTTTTAGGATTTGGGTGAAGATTTACAGAGTAAATTCACTTTTCAT